CCTGCACTCTGAAGGAGGGGTGTCAATGTTGCAGTTTAAAAACTGTAGTGTAAAGCACCCTTCTGGCAAGACAGTGATGGAGTGAATGATGGTGAAAGTTTTTCTTTTTCGGGCCACCCTGCCTTGGTGGGAATCGGCCAGTGTGATAATAAAAAAAAAATAAATAAATAATGTATGAAAGAGGGGAAGGTACATAGGCATTGGCAGAGAGCATGTATAGTTCCTTTATATAAAGGGAAGGGGGACAAAAGAGATTGTAAAATTTATAGGGGAATAAGTTTACTGAGCATACCAGAAAAAGTGTACGGTAGGGTTATTATTGAAAGAATTAGATGTAAGACAGAATGTAGGATTCCAGTTGAGCAAAGAGGTTTTAAAGTGGGTCGGGGATTTGTAGATCAAGTGTTTACATTGAAGCATATATGTGAACAGTATATAGATAAAGGTAGGGAAGTTTTCATTGCATTTATCGATTTAGAAAAGGCATATGATAGAGAGGATAGAGGAGCAATGTGGCAGATGTTACAAGTATATGGAATAGGTAGTAAGTTATTAAATGCTGTAAAATTTTTGTGAGGATAGCGAGGCTCAGGTTAGGGTGTGTAGAAGAGAGGGAGACTATTTCCCGGTAAAAGTAGGTCTTAGACAGGGATGTGTAATGTCACCATGGTTGTTTAAGATATTTATAGATGAGGTTGTAAAAGAAGTAAGTGCTAGGGTGTTCGGGAGAGGGGTGGGATTACATTATGGGGAATCAAATACAAAATGGGAATTGACACAGTTACTTTTTGCTGATGATACTGAGCTTATGGAAGATTCTAAAGAAAAATTGTGAAGGTTAGTGGATGAGTTTGGGAGTGTGTGTAAAGGTAGAATTTGAAAGTGAACATAGGAAAGAGTAAGGTGATGAGGGTATCAGTGATTTAGATAAAGAAAAACTGGATATCAAATTGGAGAGGAGGAATACGGAAGAAGTGAATGTTTTCAGATATTAGGGAGTTGATGTGTCAGCGGATGGATTTATGAAGGATGAGGTTAATCATAGAATTGATGAAGAAAAAAAGGTGAGTGGTGCATTGAGGTATGTGTGGAGACAAAAAGTGTTACTGTGGAGGCAAAGAAGGGAATGTATGAAAGTATAGTGGTACCAACACTCTTATATGGGTGTGAAGCTTGGGTTGTAAATGCTGCTGCGAGGAGATGGTTGGAGGCAGTGGAGATGTCCTGTCTAAGGGCAATGTGTGGTGTAAATATTATGCAGAGAATTCAGTGTGTGGAAATTAGGAGAAGGTGTGGTTAATAAAATTATTAGTCAGAGGGCTGAAGAGGGGTTGTTGAGGTGGTTTGGTCTTTTAGAGAGAATGGATCAAAGAATGACATAGAGATCACATAAATCTGTAGGGGAAGGAAGGAAGGGTAGGGGTCATAGTCGGAAAGGTTGGAGGGTGGGGGTAAAGGAGGTTTTGTGGGTGAGGGGCTTGGACTTCCAGCAAGCGTGCGTGAGCGTGTTAGATAGGAGTGAATGGAGACTAATGGTATTTGGGACCTGACAAGCTGTTGGAGTGTGAGCAGGGTAATATTTAGTGAAGGGATTCTGGGAAACCGGTTGTTTTTATATAGCCGGACCTGAGTCCTGGAAATGGGAAGTGCAATGCCTGCACTTTAAAGGAGTGGTTTGGGATATTGGCAGTTTGGAGGGATATGTTGTGTATCTTTATATGTGTATGCTTCTAAACTGTTGTATTCTGAGCACCTCTGCAAAAACAGTGATTATGTGTGAGTGTGGTGGAAGTGTTGAATGATGATGAAAATATTTTCTTTTTGGGGATTTTCTTTCTTTTTTGGGTCACCCTGCCTCAGTGGGAGACGGCCGACTTGTTGAAATATATATATATATATAATATATATATATATATATATATATATATATATAATATATATATATATAATATATATATATATATATATTACACACACACACACACACACACAATGGATCAGGGAATACTTGTCAGGAAGACAGCAGCGAGTAATGGTACGTGGCGAGGTGTCAGAGTGGGCACCTGTGACCAGCGGGGTCCCACAGGGGTCAGTCCTAGGACCAGTGCTGTTTCTGGTATTTGTGAACGACATGACGGAAGGAATAAACTCCGAGGTGTCCCTGTTTGCAGATGACGTGAAGTTGATGAGAAGAGTTCATTCGATCAAAGACCAGGCAGAACTACAAAGGGATCTGGACAGGCTGCAGACCTGGTCCAGCAACTGGCTCCTGGAGTTCAATCCCACCAAGTGCAAAGTCATGAGGATTGGGGAAGGGCAAAGAAGACCGCAGACGGAGTACAGTCTAAGGGGCCAGAGACTACAAACATCACTCAAGGAAAAAGATCTTGGGGTGAGTATAACACCAGGCACATCTCCTGAAGCGCACATCAACCAAATAACTGCCGCAGCATATGGGCGCCTGGCAAACCTCAGAACAGCATTCCGACATCTTAATAAGGAGTCGTTCAGGACCCTGTACACCATGTACGTTAGGCCCATATTGGAGTATGCGGCACCAGTTTGGAACCCACACCTAGCCAAGCATGTAAAGAAACTAGAGAAAGTGCAAAGGTTTGCAACAAGACTAGTCCCAGGGTTAAGAGGTATGTCCTATGAGGAGAGGTTAAGGGAAATCAACCTGACGACACTGGAGGACAGGAGAGATAGGGGGGACATGATAACGACTTACAAAATACTGAGAGGAATTGACAAGGTGGACAAAGACAGGATGTTCCAGAGACTGGACACAGCAACACGGGGACACAGTTGGAAGCTGAAGACACAGATGAATCAAAGGGATGTTAGGAAGTATTTCTTCAGCCACAGAGTAGTCAGGAAGTGGAATAGTTTGGGAAGCGATGTAGTGGAGGCAGGATCCATACATAGCTTTAAGCAGAGGTACGATAAAGCTCATGGTTCAGGGAGAGTGACCTAGTAGCGACCAGTGAAGAGGCGGGGCCAGGAGCTTGGACTCGACCCCTGCAACCTCAACTAGGTGAGTACACACACACACACACACACACACACACACACACACACACACACACACACACACACACACACACACACACACACACAGTCACTATGTACTAAATATTTCTGCCAACCCAAAATATTAAATGTATGCTGCCCCAGACCATTGGATTTAGATTTTGCCACCGAAGTGGCTAGTTTATTGTGCACCTCACCCATCTTGTGGACGGTAGCGCAAGAACATATGGATACACAAAAGGCCTAGGAACTAGGCCCCAAAAGGGTTAACAGGTGTACATATGGGTTTTTTATCTATATAACTACAGTTCACTTATCTGTTACAAGCAAATTTAGGAAATTTGCTTAGTATATCTGGTATCTTATTTTCAATAATAAATGTTGACATGTCACATAGGTTATTACACTGTCTCTGTATTCCTCAATAAGTGGACAATTAAGCACACAGTATTCAAGAGAGTGACCATATACCTGATCACATAATTTACATTTAGTTTGATCATCATCTGTGTGTCTCCCAAACTGCCAGAAGAACTTGTAACCAAGCCTAAGCCTGGCCACTACATCAGTCAGCGTTCACATTGCAAGTTGCACCATAAACGTACTTATCTATGTTCATGTTATCATAGTGGGTTATAGATCTACTCAGGCTTATAACTGCATTCCTATAACAATCATTTTCATCACTGTACTGCAAGATTCCTGAATAAATTTAACTGAATGAAGGTTTTACTCTTCACTTGTTTTTTCGGTGAACTCTAGTGATGAACTCTAGTGGTGAACTCTAGTGATGAACTCGAGTGATGAACTTTAGTGGTGAACTCTAGTGATGAACTCTAGTGATGAACTTCAGTGGTGAACTCTAGTGATGAACTCTAGTGATGAACTCGAGTGATGAACTTTAGTGGTGAACTCTAGTGATGAACTCGAGTGATGAACTTTCAGTGGTGAACTCTAGTGATGAACTCGAGTGATGAACTTTAGTGGTGAACTCTAGTGATGAACTCTAGTGATGAACTTCAGTGGTGAACTCTAGTGATGAACTCTAGTGATGAACTTCAGTGGTGAACTCTAGTGATGAACTCTAGTGATGAACTCGAGTGATGAACTTTAGTGGTGAACTCTAGTGATGAACTCAAGTGATGAACTTTAGTGGTGAACTCTAGTGATGAACTCTAGTGATGAACTTCAGTGGTGAACTCTAGTGATGAACTCGAGTGATGAACTTTAGTGGTGAACTCTAGTGATGAACTCTAGTGATGAACTTCAGTGGTGAACTCTAGTGGTGTGTAGTAAAATGGGAATAATTTCACCTAGCCGCCACACTTCATGCTGTCACCTTTTAACCTTGAATAGCAGCGCCGTATGACCCTGGTCGGTTTAGCGCTTAGTTTTGATTATAATAATTAACCTCTAAGGGAGGCGCTTGATGTTGGTGAGGGGCTCTTGGTCCAAGGAACTGAACCTGTCGTCCCCTTGAATCGAACCTGATAGCTTCTTACGGTGTCCTCACACATTGAGTGTCTGTGGCTAGATCCCCAGTACGAGTTGAAACAGTACGATGTTTCCTTAAGGCACTTGTTGTCCCTGTTCACCTAGCAGACTAGCAGTATGTACGTACCTGGTTGTTAGTCGACTGGTGTGGGTCGCATCCTGGGGACAAAATTGAATCTAAGTTGTCCGAAATGTTCTGCATAACCAGGGACTTTCTATTTAGTATGTCACTGATGTCAGCTAGGTCTGCATCAGTTGTAACATGCAGAAATAAAGATTATTATTATTATTATTATTATTATTATTATTCAACAGACGCTGTTATGTTCCCTTTGGATTGAGCGTTTCCCCATGAATATAATAATAATAATGTTAATTTGTTAATGTAGCATCAGTTTGTGTTGTATGATCCTCCTAAAGACTCTTCGGGACCAACAACACTAAGTGTGAAGCTAAGCAACTTTATGAACAAGTTTTATATAAACTATTGTGATTGTCATATCTGTTTAAAGCCCTCTTTATTATAAATCTTTAAATATCTTATACAGAAAAACGGGATACAGCATATAACTTCTCTCCTTCAACATATAATAAATTTACATTCTTTTAAAACATTACTGGCATAAATCATTTCTGTAGAACAATAATTTATCTAACAATACTTGTAACAAATATCAACAGATTTAAAAGAAAACTTAATTTCTTTCAAAAGTCGTAAACACATTAAATATTTCAGCATCAAACAGTTTAAATACCTAAAGGTCAGGGCTCTACATTCGAAGACTGTTGCTGATATGGGTATGGTCAGTTGAGTGATGATACCTGTGACCTGCTTCTAGAGTTGTTCTACTCTCCTGGTCACATCCCTGGTAAGCAACTGACCAGCAAGGTCAGAGCTGTCCACCCACAGGCCATATGTGGCCCATAGGTTGATTTCTAGTGGCCTATTAATTGTCAAGTTCTTCATTTCTATAATGAATCATATAAGGATTATAAGCTGTGATTACAACCCTTATATTATGTATCTTGACATAATTTTAGTACCAAAGCCTCCAAGTTTCAAAATATAAGAATCTTTGCATATCATCGCCCTCTTATATTCCTAAAAGATAAAATTATCGTATGTGGTTAGCGAACCTTCCTGTGTCTATTTGGACCAAGATGTAGATGATAGAGCAGTGTGAACGAGGCTCCTGCTGACTAGAGTGGTAGGTCCATATAAGCATCACAGCCTGGCTGATCAGGCAGTTTCTGCAGGAACTGGTCCAGTTTCCTCACAGGAATATTATTTGATGGGGGTAAGTAGTGTACACTGGGCTGTGGGTAGAGTGACTGTGAGGGTATAGGTAGAGGGGTCCCAGGTGGCCACGCCCTCACGTTGAAGAACTGGGCGAGGAAGAGGTATGTGGAGGTAATGGGAAGGAGAGGCCAGACGGAAGATAGTAGAAGTGACTTCAAGAGTAATCTGCGTCAGTAGTGTCCCCGGCAGAAGCACTCTCACCACCACGTCCTCTTCCCCAGCCACACTCACCTGCAGCACAACATAATGTAACTTAATGCTGGTGACCCGTTAAGTGCTGTGCCTTCAAGCTGGTGAAGGACTCTTGTTCCAAGGAATAACAGCTACCTTTGGATTTATCGCTTTTCCATGAATACAAAAATAATACTGCTGCTGATGCTACTCCACGTAGCAGTTGATACTGGTGAAGGTCTTATTCCAAGGAACTAAACTTGTTTTTCCCGTCTTTGTATCGAGTCCAAGTGACTTCCATTCTCCAGACGTATGACTCCTAAATATAATAATAATTCACCTAGAAGTAGGTACATGGTGGATACTCGTGGGTCGCAAATCCTGGAAGGAAAGCTCAAATATAACTAATTAAATATAAATAAATAATGTCGTCATTACGGCATAACGAAATAAACTAATATTATCGTCTGCATAAATAACTCACTATGATTATAACCAGATATAAATATGTAAACAGCTCATTACTACGGTAACTTGTTTAGCTATGACCGCGGGTTCAATCCCGGCCGGGGTATGGTTTGGTTAGCTATCAAAACTTTGTGGCCCAGTCCCTGGACCCATTATGTGCCTCTGTAACAATCTGACTACCACCCACACCATGGGTATAGAGTGCATAATAAATATATTACACTAACATATATCATATACACAGAACTATATACATACTGGGAGGAAGATGTGGCTGGCAGACACTCTGTGCCTGAATGTGACCTGGTACTCTGGTGGGGGTCGAGGGTCACTGGCTTCATCACTCTGACCTGATCTCACCTCCTCCACCTCCCAAATGTCACCTGCAAAATTATATTAAATAAAAAAAAATAGAGCTTATTACACGTTTTAGATAACTTCAAATAATACCTAGATACCTATTTACTGGTAAGTTACCAGGAGCAGTAAGTGTAAAGTTTTACCCATAAGTTTCAGTCACCCTGGAAACTGAATCCAAGACCTTTCGGTTGTGAGCAGAAAGCTCTAGCACTAAACTATAGGTCTGGAACATCATATTTCCAAGGACAGGCTTATATTTTATGTAACGGGGTCCTGTAGCCCGTAGCAGTTCCTGACCAGCCAGGCTGTGGCTCATACGTCGGGTTACGTGCGGCCATCAGTAACAGCCTGGTTGATCAGGCCTTGATCCGCGCACTCAGCTCACACACTGAGGTCCTTGGCTCGATCCTTGGTACGGATGGAAATATTTGAACATGTTTCCTTAAGACACCTGCTGTCCCTGTTCACCCAGCAGTAGATAGGCACCTGGGTGTTAGTCGACTGGTGTGAGTCTCATCCTGAGGACAAAATTAACATAATTTGCCCTAAATGCTCTGCATAACAAGGTGCTTTCTGTATAGTGTGTCATTGTTCTCAAGTAGGTCTATAAAAGTTGTTTCATGTACTCGTAGAAATAGATTATTATTATTATTATTATTATTATTATTATTATTATTATTATTATTATTATTATTATTATTATTATTATTATTATTCATTGACCCCTTCCTCTCCAAACTCTTCACCAATGCCCCCGTCTTTTATACATAATTTGTGAGATGTCATTCAAAATGTTAATCACCTTGTAAACCTAACTTTTAAGTTTACTTGAAGGTAACCCTTGAATCTGTCGTAGCTACTGAAGCCGGAGTGAAATATTTCACCTGGTATAAACCTCGGTAATTCGGTCCCAAGACCGAAACATCCGAGTGTTTGGTTACGTGTATTTTTGGAACCAATATTTTCATCGTACTAATAATATAATTATAATTATTATTATTCTTGTAATAATAAACAATTAAAATTTACCATTCCATAACCCATGTCTAGTTGTCAGTAGCCTATAAGCATTAGGATTATTCTGCCCGAAATGTTTATGTATGCTAGTGACTTTCGTTGTGCTTAAATGTAAACTACTCAAAGACGTAAAAAATTTGAATTTTAAATGTTTTTTTAATTATTATTATTATTATTATTATTATTATTATTATAATTAATGGAGGAGCACTAATCCCGCAGGGGTAATACAGCTTCTGGATGGGGGGGGGGTAAACGGGAAGGTATTCATGTTCGATCTAAGGAAGGGGAGAACAGGTTCAGTTTTTTGGATCAAGAGCCTTTCATGTGAAGAAAACAGCCCAAGTTTTACCTGGAAGAGTTCCGGGGTCACGCCCCCGCGGCCCGGTCTGTGACAGGCCCTGGGGGATCGAGCCGATCAACCAGGCGTTATGCTGGCTGCACACAAACCAACGTACGAGCCACACCCGGCTGGTCAGGGACCCACTTTAGGGGGCTTTTCCAGTGCCCGCTTGAAAACGCCAGGGTTTTTGGTAATCCCCTTATTATGCTGGGGCAGTTGAAAAAGCCCCGGGCCCCGACACTTATTGTATGGTCTCTTAACGGCTATGACACCCCTGCTTTTTATTGGGGGGGGGTTGCATCGTCTCCAATCTTTTGCTTTCGTTGTGAATTTTCGGTCAAGTTCGGGATTAGTCCCCTAGGTTTTCCAGGGTATATAATCATGTATCCTCCCCCTGCGTTCCAGGGGAGTACAATTCAGGAACTTCAAGCGACAGATTTTTTTGTCCAAGAACCCAAAATTATTATGACGAAATACTATTTTCTGTGATGAAAATAACTCTCATGGGGGTATCTTTTCCCGTGTAAACCACCGAAAGATTGAATCTTCAATACACCGTAAGGTAAAGAACCTGATATACAGGGGTTTCATATCTTTGTATATACGCACCTTCTAGGGGAAATGCCTTAGCCGTAAGAGGGTCTTGAGCCCCGGGGCCAAACTTATCCTTTCCTTCCTGAGTTTACCTGGAGAGAGTTCCGGGGGTCAACGCCCCCGCGGCCCGTCTGTGACCAGGCCTCCTGGTGGATCAGAGCCTGATCAACCAGGCTGTTGCTGCTGGCTGCACGCAAACCAACGTACGAGCCACAGCCCGGCTGATCAGGAACTGACTTTAGGTGCTTGTCCAGTGCTAGCTTGAAGACTGCCAGGGTCTGTTGGTAATCCCCCTTATGTGTGCTGGAGGCAGTTGAACAGTCTCGGGCCCCTGACACTTATTGTATGGTCTCTTAACGTGCTAGTGACACCCCTGCTTTTCATTGGGGGATGGTGCATCGTCTGCCAAGTCTTTTGCTTTCGTAGTGAGTGATTTCGTGTGCAAGTTCGGTACTATCCCTCTAGGATTTTCCAGGTGTATATAATCATGTATCTCTCCCTCCTGCGTTCCAGGAATACAGGTTTAGGAACCTCAAGCGCTCCCAGTAATTGAGGTGTTTTATCTCCGTTATGCGTGCCGTGAAAGTTCTCTGTACATTTTCTAGGTCGGCAATTTCACCTGCCTTGAAAGGTGCTGTTAGTGTGCAGCAATATTCCAGCCTAGATAGAACAAGTGACCTGAAGAGTGTCATCATGGGCTTGGCCTCCCTAGTTTTGAAGGTTCTCATTATCCATCCTGTCATTTTTCTAGCAGATGCGATTGATACAATGTTATGGTCCTTGAAGGTGAGAATCTTCCGACATGATCACTCCCAGTCTTTGACGTTGGTGTTTCGCTCTATTTTGTGGCCAGAATTTGTTTTGTACTCTGATGAAGATTTAATTTCCTCATGTTTACCATATCTGAGTAATTGAAATTTCTCATCGTTGAACTTTATATTGTTTTCTGCAGCCCACTGAAAGATTTGTTGATGTCCGCCTGGAGCCTTGCAGTGTCTGCAATGGAAGACACTGTCATGCAGATTCGGGTGTCATCTGCAAAGGAAGACACGGTGCTGTGGCTGACATCCTTGTCTATGTCGGATATGAGGATAGGAACAAATGGGAGCGAGTACTGTGCCTTGTGGAACAGAGCTTTTCACCGTAGCTGCCTCGGACTTTACTCTGTTGACGACTACTCTCTGTGTTCTGTTAGTGAGGAAATTATAGATCCATCGACCGACTTTTCCTGTTATTCCTTTAGCACGCATTTTGTGCGCTATTACGCCATGGTAACACTTGTCGAAGGCTTTTGCAAAGTCTGTATATATTACATCTGCATTCTTTTTGTCTTCTAGTGCATTTAGGACCTTGTCGTAGTGATCCAATAGTTTGAGACAGACAGGAGCGACCTGTTCTAAACCCATGTTGCCCTGGGTTGTGTAACTGATGGGTTTCTAGATGGGTGGTGATCTTGCTTCTTATGACCCTTTCAGAGATTTTTATGATATGGGATGTTAGTGCTATTGGTCTGTAGTTCTTTGCTGTTGCTTTACTGCCCCCTTTGTGGAGTGGGGCTGTGTCTGTTGTTTTTAGTAACTGTGGGACGACCCCCGTGCCCATGCTCCCTCTCCATAGGATGGAAAAGGCTCGTGATAGGGGCTTCTTGCAGTTCTTGATGAACACAGAGTTCCATGAGTCTGGCCCTGGGCAGAGTGCATGGGCATGTCATTTATCGCCTGTTCGAAGTCATTTGGCGTCAGGATAACATCGGATAGGCTTGTGTTAATCAAATTTTGTGGCTCTCTCATAAAAAATTCATTTTGATCTTCGACTCTCAGTCTGGTTAGCGGCTTGCTAAAAACTGAGTCATACTGGGACTTGAGTAGCTCACTAATTTCCTTGCTGTCATCTGTGTAGGACCCATCTTGTTTAAGTGGGGGCCCAATACTGGACGTTTTTTCTCGATTTTGATTTGGCATAGGAGAAGAAATACTTTGGGTTTCTTTCGATTTCTTTTATGGCTTTTAGTTCTTCCCGCGATTCCTGACTCCTAAAGGATTCTTTTAGCTTAAGTTCGATGCTTGCTATTTCTCTGACCAGTGTCTCCCTACGCATTTCAGATATATTGACCTCTTTTAGCCGCTCTGTTATTCTTTTCCGTCGCCTGTAAAGGGAGCGCCTGTCTCTTTCTATTTTACATCTACTCCTCCTTTTTCTTAGAGGAATAAGCCTTGTGCAAACATCGAGTGCCACCGAGTTAATCTGTTCTAGGCATAAGTTGGGGTCTGTGTTGCTTAGTATATCTTCCCAGCTTATATCGGTTAGGACTTGGTTTTACTTGGTCCCACTTATGTTTTTGTTATTGAAGTTGAATTTGGTGAATGCTCCCTCGTGACTAGTCTCATTATGTCGGTCTGGGGCTCCACGCATACATGTCTGAACCTCAATTATGTTGTGATCTGAGTATATTGTTTTTGATATGGTGACATTTCTTATCAGATCATCATTGTTAGTGAAGATGAGGTCTAGTGTATTCCTCCAGTCTAGTAGCTCTATTATTTGCTGGTTTAAATTGATTTGTGCAGAGATTTAAAAGCTCGTGTGAGTGTGGTTTTCATCAGAGCTGCCTCCTGGTGTTATTACTGCAACAATATAATTTGCTATGATCCTCCATTTTAGGTGCCTTAAGTTGAAATCGCCCAGGACAAGATGTTGGGTGCAGACTGAAGATTTTCCAGACAGTGGTCAATTTTTAACAGCTGGACTGGAATTGCTGGGATGTTGCATCCGAGGCTTGTAGACTACCACAATGACTAGGTTTGGTTCTCGACCTTACTGCTAAAACTTCCACACATCATTTGAGGCATTAAGCAGTTCTGTCAAACAAGTGACTCTGCAATGTACAGGCCAACCCCCCCCCCCTTTTTGCCTGTTCACTCTGTCATCTGTATAGGTTGTACCTGGATCCAATTTCGTTTCCAAGGACCCTTTTAGGGGTCTCATGAAAGCCGCAAACTTTCCCTTTGCCTCGCAACAGTCCACGTGAAAGGTTTTTTGGTTTGTTCTGGCTTTAGCCCTGTATATTTGCAAAGAAGAATTTTATGGGACTGTGGTTTTGTTGTACTGGGGGGGGGTTTTTTTTTCCCGCATTATATTTATCTGTGGTTTTGGAGTGGGGGGCCATCGATGGGGTTCCACTCCAGGAAGACTGGATTTGGTGTACGATTTCGCCTTTTCCTGCCAGTTTTTTTCCTTTCCCCGGCACAAAAAAACTCCCCCTCTTGAGGGCTGTGGTTACCCAGTTTTCCCGGGCCTGGTGTTTTGTTTTTTTTTTTTCCCCCTTTTAATGGATGCCTGGAAATTTAAGTTAAGCACATCTTTCGTGTCTGAAGGGGACACAGTTCGGGGGAAAAAAGCTTACAGGAAGGGATTTTTGCATTTTCCGTTGTCATGGGGCATTGCTTTTTCTAGGGGGGTCATAGTTGCCACCCCATCTTTTTTTTCCAGTTTTTCCCTTGCCAGCAGATACCAATGCATAGAAAGGGAAAGGTTTTTGCAAAGCCTTCGACAAGTGTACCGGCGTAAACGCACAAAATCGCGCAAAAGGAAAAACAGAAAAGTGGGTCGAGGATCAAAAATTTCCTCACTAACAGAACACGAAGAGTCGCCAAAGAGTAAAGCCGAGGCGCTACGGAAAAAGCCTTTCCAAAAGGGCCATACTAGCTCCCATCTTTTTTCCTCACCTCAACCGACATAGACGGGATGTCAACCAGCACCGGTCTTCCTTTCAGATACACCCGAATCGCATGACATGTTTTCCCTTTGCAGACACGGCAAGGCCCAGGCGACATAAACCCAAAAATCTTTCAGGGGCTGCAGAAAAAAATATGAATTCAACGAAGAAATTTCATTACTCAGATATGGTAAACATGGGGAAATTAAATCTTCATCAGAGTACAAAAAAAATTCTGGGGCCCCAAAATAGAGCGAAACACCAACGAAAGACCTGGGGGTGATTATTCGGGATCTCACCTTTAAGGGCCATAACATTGTATCAATCGCATCGCTAGAAAAATGACGAGGATAATGAAACCTTCAAACTAGGGAGGCCAAGCCCAGAGAACTCTTCAGGGCCTTGTCTATCACTTTGGGAATATTTGCAAACTAAAAAACCCCCTTTCAAGGCAGGTAAATTGCCGACCTAGAAAATGTACAAGAACTTTTACGGGGCCATAACGGGATAAAACCCTCAAATTTCTGGGAGCGCTTTTAGGTTTTTTTAAAAACCTGAAATTTCCCCGGGAAAGCAGGGGAGAGATACATGATTTTAAAACACCTGAAAATCCTAAAAGGGGCTAGTACCGAATTGCAAAAAGAAAATCACTCACTACGAAAAACAAAAACTTGGCAACGATGCCCATCCCCCCAAGAAAAGCGGGGGTCACTCACGTTAAGAGACATACAATAAGTTCAGGGGCCCGAGACTTTTTAACTGCCTCCCCCGCACACTAAGGGGGGTTACCCAACAGACCCTGGGGCTTTCGCGGCACGGACAAACACCTAAAGTCATTCCTGACAGCCGGGCTTGGCTCTACGTTGGTTTGCGGGACCCAGCAACAGCCTGTTACAGGGCCGATCCACCAGGAGGCCTGGGCACAGACCGGCCCCCGGGGGGTTGACCCCCCGAAAATCTCTCCAGTAAACTCCAGGGTTGGTTCCGTTTTCCTTGGTTTCTGTGACGTTTCCCCCGTTGGGCATGTTTTTCCCCTTCTTACTTCTACCCCCCTAGCCCAAAAAATGGAGCTCCCCCATTGTTTTTGGAATATATCCCACTATTGCAGTGGAGTCCTCTTTTCTATTTTCCCGCATATTTTTATTTGCAATATGGGTTTTTTTTAACTTTGACTACACGTTCCCACTAGGCTCCGTCCCCCAAGGGGCATTTATTATTCCTTCCGCGTATATTCCCGACACCGGGCAAAATCTCCACTTTCACCTTTCTGTCTCCCAGGACAGCTTTTTCCACTTCACCCTTACTGTCCCCCAGGACAGCACCTCCAGCTTCACCATTTCTGTCTCCCAGGACAGCACCTCCAGCTTCACCATTACTGTCTCCCCAGGACAGCACCTCCAGCTTCACCATTACTGTCTCCCAGGACAGCACTATCAGCCCCACATTTACTGACTACCAGGACTTCATCTCCAGCCTTACAGTTTTTTTGACTACATGCCAGTATCAAGAGCAGTACCATTCAACACAGACTTTTTAGTTCCCATCTGTTGTAGAAAGCTTCCAGGTTGTCTATGAAAGCAGCTTTGATGTTGCCCTTTAATACCCTTGTGATTTAGTCCACAGATTTATCTCATTTGGGCATACCCAAAAACATTTCCCTGTTTTAAAAACTGCTTGTAGCTATTCTTGAATCTGCACAAGGGCGTGACACCAAATTTCCACACAAATGACAATTTATTCCCCTGTGGAAGCCCGTTTGTTTTGACTGACCAACACACACACTTCATATGTTGAATGGTTATTTACTCAATTCTACTAGTAACCTCTTGAATATTTTATTAATAAATCCTTAAATAAGCTCAGCTATTTGTATTTCTGTTTCTAACTTTTTTGTATATTTGGGCACTACCGGCACGTTCCGATATATATTTAATGTTGTGTTTAAAGGCGCCTACAACCCCATCCGTTTACAGTCTCTTATTGTCCAACGAAACCGTTGAAACCATCAAGGGTTCGGACCAGTCGATCTGATCTGATCAGTGGTCGCTTATTTAAAACATACTGGTCGGTGATTTGGGCTAACACATGAAGGATCTACTGGAAATTACTACCCGAGTAATATGTGATTTGATTGATACAAAAGTAAACTTGCGTGTTGAAGAAACCGGGGATTTCTGGCAGCTCCTTTCAATGACGAACGGTCGACCTCAACCCTTGTTTATCAATCGCTGTATCTAGCTTTTCATTTTTTTCCGTCTCCCCCACAAAAAAGCTATATTATCACTATAGTGACTGGTGGAAATTTGGAGGAAGGACCTTTTCGTAGTAATATTTGCTTCTGTTGTGTATATTGCACCGCTGGAAATACAGGGTTTTATAATTCACAGTATACGTCTGGTATTTCCCAAAAAAAAGAAACTAATGAAATTACTCCACTCCACAAGTACCATTATAATACTGGTTTTTGCTACACAACACTGTATTCTGCTATTCACTGGTATCACTAGATTATATGCCTCTTATTCCCCAGGTGCTATTTGATCCCTGAAGGTTTAGTTCTCTTATGTTAAAATAAACATATAAATAACAGAAAGGTGTTTCCCTCGTTATACACACCGATCGTAAATTTTTAAATTCATATTTTTTCAAGATAAAAGTAGTATTGATGTTATTGTAATCCCTTAACATGGTATATACAGTGAAAGGTATATACTGTATATACCGAGCATTTACTTTTGTTTTAAGCATTTCAGTGCATTTGATGCTAGTGTGACCCTCGTCTAGTATGTAAACATAAACCTAACTCGCATGATTTTATATTTTAGGTGAAAATTAGCGAGACTGACCTAATAGATCAGTGTTGTCCTTCGCTGGTGACCTGATGACCTTAGGTGATGATCTGGTAATCGGTGCCCCGCTGCTGATGTAGCTACCAGCCAGATCACCTGGGGTTAATTCTGCCCATACACGGGTAACCTTTTAGTACCAACCGTCTTGCAAGTATTTGTGATATTTACTTCAAGTATTTGTGATATTTAGCGCAAAATGGTAATGGGAATCAAATAAAATATTCGTTTATTGTATATGAAGTGTCTGGTAAATAGATTGAAGCAGCTTACCAGACAAGGTCGAGGCTGTCGCCTCCTCCTCGTCAACATGGACGTCTTCTTCAGACCTGAGGAGAGAGGCGAGTGCCCGCATGTCCACACCCCATCCATCACTCATTACTCTCAAACGACTATGATTTTCTCCCTAACACTTCCTCTCGCTCAAGCACCAGCTCACACTCAAATAATGTCGTGCCCTCAACAGTGACTCACACATCCATGACCTAATGCACCAACTCTCACGATCTTCCTCAGATGTAGTGGGTTCTTTCGTCTTCTTGAACGTCAAGACGAGTATTAGCAGTTCCACGTCCTAACCAGCTACGTTAACCTTGACAGGGATGAAAAAAACTGTTATTACATTAATTTAGACACATAAGTAAGCTTTATCACACTTGAGTATAACATTAACCAAAATACTTTCCTTCGCTCACAAACTTAGTATATTATGACTCTGAAATTCAAAAGAATGTGAAATAAGAATGGAAATCTATTGTACTTTAGAAATTTGAACTGATGTGTATTTTTTGTAACAAATACTAAACAGTATTTTGACGTTATCTGGTGAATATAACATTTTTACTAGGTTACAGCAAGAGCTATGTTTAACTAGCATCCTTACCAGCTAGTTATCAATACAATGGTTTCTCTATATTATTTTGAAATCTACTTGAATCTCCACGGCAGGTCTGGCGTCACTTATGTTTGGGTACCGTCAAACAAGACAGTTTACATGACAGTACATTGGAAAGGCAGATTATAATGTGTATTGCCTTAAGCACAAACGATACTTATAGAACATGATTACAGTATACTCTACATCATATAAAATAATATGAAACTATTACCAAAACTCTTCTAGCCTAATTGTCAATTATTTCATATAATAAGAGTGGCTGAACTTAACAGTGAAAATATTAGCACTGTAAAAAACATTGGTCATTATCAGTACGTTATCTAGCACGTGCAAAAAGTGGATAGTCTCGACATCAGATATGTTATCACTATTAATGAAGTGATTTCCTGGAGGGTTTGCTTGGACATGTTTCTAAATGTTTGGACACTAAAGGTATGATATTTCAGTGCATTGCCTTGTTTCTGTGTATATAAACTGTACTGCCATTGATCTAGTTGTTGTCTAGCAGTGACAACATCTTGTAATCTACTAACCATGTTGTTATCTCCATAAATATGTTTTATTTGACTGTCTTGACACATTTCATTATGATGAATCTGCTACTTCTTGTCTATTCTGTTCTGCTTTCTTCAAACTTGTTTGCTATCTTTCCTAAAAATACTTTTTTAAGCTACTGTTTAAGAAACCAAGGGTATGCTCGACGTTCTTTATTGAACGCAAGTAAGGTATCCCCGATGAGGAACCATTAAGTGGCTGCTTGAATGTTTCTTCCAACTTGCCGTTTTTATTTCGCTCATAATACGTAAAGGTCTCATCCCACCGGCTTCAATTTTTCAGTACCTCAATGCTTAAACGAGACGGGACTCACACAGAAGACGGCAAAGAAATAAGTGAGACATTGAAGTCCCAGTATGACTCAAAGTTTAGCGAGCCGTTAATCAGACTAAGAGTCGACAATCTAAATTATTTTTTTATGACCGAGATTCAAAATTTGGTTAATTCAAAAATTTCTGATATTATCCTAACACTGCAAGACTTTGGAAAAGCAATAAATGACATGCCCATGCACTCTGCCCCAGGCTTAGACTCGTGGAACTCTGTGTTCATCAAGAACTGCAAGAAACTCCTCTCACGTACCTTAAATATTCTGTGGAGAGGGAGCATAGACACAGGGGTCATCCCAGTCACTAAAAACAACAGACATGGCCCCACTCCACAAAGGTGGCAGTAAAGCAATTGCAAAGAATTACAGACCGATAGCACTAACGTCCCACATCATAAAAATCTTTGAAAGGGTTCTAAGAAGCAAGATCGCCACCCAAATAGATACCCATCAATTGCACAACCCAGGGCAGCATGGGTTTAGAGCAGGTCGCTCCTGCCTCTCGTAACTACTGGACCACTGTGACATGGTCTTGGATGGTCTGGAGGAAAAACAAATTGAAGATGTAGTATACACAGGCTTTGCGAAAGCTGTCGACAAGTGCGATAATGGTGTAATAGCACAAAATGCGTGATAAAGGAATAACAGGAAAAGTGGGTAGATGGATCTATAACTTCCTAAGAAACAGAACACAGAGTAAAGTCAGAGGCGGCTACAGTGAAAAGCTCTGTTCACAAGGTACAGTACTCGCTCCCATCCTTTTCCTCATCCTCATATCTGACATGGAGATGTAAGCCACATCACCGTCTTTCTTTGCGGATGACTCCCAAATTTGCATGACAGTGTCACCCATCGAAGACACTGCAAATCTCCAAGCGGACATCAAATCTTTAAAAGGGCCGCAGAAAACAATATGAAGTTCAGTGAAGATATATTTCATTTACTCCGCTTTGGAAAACTCGAGGAAATTAAAACTATCGGAGTATAAAACGAATTTCAACCACACAATAGGACGAAAAACTAATGTGAAGGACCTGGGAATGATAATATCAGAATCTCACTTTCTAAGATCACAACAATGTTTTTTCTACATCTGCTTGGAAATAATAGCATGGATAATGAGAACCTTAAAAGCTAGAGATGCCAAGCCCATGATGATTCTCTTAAAATCGTTGTATACTAACGGCCCCTTTCAAGGCAGGCGAAATTGCAGACCTCGAGAATATACATATAATTTTCACGGCACGTTTAGTACGATAAAGCACCTAAATTACCGGGAATAGCATACAGACCAACTTTTGCGAAGATTTATGGATTATTTTGAACCATCGTCTAACCCTCACGTGTCATCATGAGTTCCTTTACATGAATTTGAACCTCCTTCCCAGAGGAGGTGGAACCTTTTGGCTCAGAGGCAATAGCTACTGGGGCTGAGAATAACAATTAATTGGTGCGGAATAATTTGGAAGTAATATTGAATGTAAGTGTGATTAATAGAAACAGGTGGAATCTAAGAGCCTTGCAGCAGAACAGATTCCCAAACTCTACCTCTCAGTAGTTCAGGTAAGGTAGTAAAGCCACCAGACAGGTTCCATTTGTAATTAATAAGGTCATACTTTCATTACCACGTCTGTGCTTGATAGTGTGTTGTAGCCTCATTTTGTCTTATAATTTATGAGGAAAGAAATGTAATTCTGTACCATAGGATCGAAGAGTAATTTCGATCTTATGTGATAAGATAAGATAAGATTTCGTTCGGATTTTTAACCCCGGAGGGTTAGCCACCCAGGAAAGTCAGTGCGTCATCGAGGACTGTCTAACTTATTTCCATTGGGGTCCTTAATCTTGTCCCCCAGGATGCGACCCACACCAGTCGACTAACACCCAGGTACCTATTTGCTGCTAGGTGAACAGGACAACAGGTGTAAGGAAACGTGTCGAATGTTTCCACCCGCCGGGAATCGAACCCGGGCCCTCCGTGTGTGAAGCGGGAGCTTTAGCCACCAGGCCACCGGACCATGTGTTTATGTATCATGTCATTTATAATTTATGGGGAAAGGGGTTTATCATTTATTGCTCTGTTGTGGTGAGATAATCTGTTGATAAACTGTGTGTTTGCCTCAACTTCTGATTATCCTTCCAGTATAACACTGCCTCTAACATCTGTGTGTCCTCAAGACCATTGTTAAAAATTTATGTTACGTACATAAAGCTTACATAAAACTTATGTACTTACTTGCTTACGTACTTATTTCCTTACTTTTTACTGGCTTAAAACCTGTCCAGTCTTACTTAAAGAAAAGTTTGTAATGATTTTGGAAGAAACTGGAAAATTTGAAACACATTTTCGTACGATAATTTTTGAGTGTCCCAACTGATAAGCTTCATCTCTTCCATATTAATATTAATAATCGTGTGCACTGAGGCATAAAGAACTGGTTATGGAATACCTGGAGTATACCTGCAGAGGGTTTCAGGGCTCAATGTCCCCGCGGCCCGGTCTGTGATTAGGCCTTTTGGTGGATCAGGGCTTGATCAACCAGACTGTTACTGTTATAGAGATACCTTTCTCAGATCGCGCAGAAGCCGGAATACATCTAGTTATGAAAAGGGTGATTTTTTTTTCCAATGTATAATATCTTGATTGCCTTTTCGGAACTGCCGAAATCATTACTGGCTGATGTATCTTATAAGAAGGATGAAACCATATAACTTGAGTCAATGTTGATGAAAAAATTGCCGATGTGCTAACATGGTAAAAATAATTGGAATCGTAGGATTCAGTGCTATAACTGGATAATGTCTCTTCTGCTCGGCTTTAAACTTCTAGCACTTGTGTGTTTTTCTTAAAGGAATGCTCGTATTGTTATTGGGCGTAAAATCCAATTTGATTATTTTTATTTATTTGTGATATTGATTTTTCTATTCCATAATTGGAAAAAAAAATCCACTTCTGACCGGCTTCAAACTTTTAACGCTGATTTATTTAATAAGAAAAATTACACCTTATAACTTCGGGCTGTACAGGCGGAATTTGCTAATGTACTAAAATAGTATGATATGAAATTGTTAAATTCCGTGTGATAACTGGAGAATTTCTCTTCTGACTAACTTATTCACTGTCAGTGTCTTACTGAAAATATTTAACATTATACTATTAGACTTTGTAGCCGCTGATGTCATGATTTTATTAACGAAAATGTTGGAGTATTATACTTTCCTGAACCATGAAAAAATTAAGATATGCTAAAATAATTAACAGGACCTTTATCATATTTCAGACCCACACCTTGTTAATGTCTATACAATTCTCTTTAGTCGTGTAAGAGATATTTGCTATCGAAAACCTACAACAAATGGTAAATATTGAACTGAATTTAAAATGATGTATTTATTATGTTTTACAATTATATTGTCTTCTAGGTGTCTTCTAGGTGTCTTCTAGGTGTCTTCTAGGTGTCTTCTAGGTGTCTTCTAGGTGTCTTCTAGGTGTGCTTTTATAGTAAAATAACTTTTGTTAGCTTTATTACGATCACAAATGATTTCCATGATATAAACGGGGGAGCAAACCACCCTAAGTTAGTTACATAGTTTAATATCTTTATTTTCCACCCCATACCCATGGTGTGAGTGGTAGTTACAATATTACAGCTGCACATCATGGGTCCAGGGACTATACCTTAACATTACAGGTGCATATCATTGTGGCCCGGTGGCCTGGTGGCTAAAGCTCCCGGGTTCGATTCCCGACGGGTGGAAACATTTCGACGTGTTTCTTTACACCTGTTGTCCTGTTCACCTAGCGGCAAAT